ATAATATATGGCATAAGTATGTTACAAGTACAATTGTTATTTGTTTCTTATGTTTTGGAAGGAGCTTCTCCAACTTTATATGACATTTCCTAACCGGATTCGATTCAACTTTGGGTTTTGTTACAAAGGAAATAATATAGTTAAAAGCAAAGAAAGACAACTAACTACACAAAAACCTAACACATAGCTAGCTAGAGATGCATTTCAACAAAGTTTAGTAAGAAATTTTGAATAAAGACAACTAAAAGAATGGCTCAATTTTTCTACAACAAAGTTTCATAGGATCAACAAAGATCGAAGTGATGCTCTGTTATATTGCAGTTTAACTAGAGAGCAAAATGGATCTTTTACTTAAGAAATTCACTCATATTGTCACAATCTTCTTGAACTATTTGTTGCTTCTTCGACTGCATACGGAGTTTGCTCTTGAGTCAGAGAAAATATGGCCTCTAAGATGAGTAAGAGCTCATACCTTGATGACTATAGAAAGATGTCTTCGATCAAATCCTGCAAAAAGTAGCAATTACATCTGAAATGTGCAACATAACAAGAAATGCAGTAGATGTGCAACATAAAAACAGAGACCAAATCAGTTTGGATCTAACTTCTTAGGCAATTCCTAATTAAGAAGCAAGCAAGACCAACAAAAACCATTAGAACCTTTTCACCTCTTCAAAGCGAGACTCTTTGAATATTTGGTTTCCCTTCCCTAAAAGTTGAAAAATCTGAGAGTGTATGTCTAAAAGTAACGAATTGTTTGCTTCAATTATCTAGAAAATTCAAGAACGTGAATTATATGATCAAACATTTAACACCCCTAAAAACATTACTGAAAGTTAATCAATAATCCAAAATAAGAGCTTGTAATGTTCGCGAATTGCAAATCGCGGGTCACTCTTTCGAACATAAAGAAGAGCTAATCCAATATGACTCGCTTCTTCTTCAATTCGACCAAATCCACGGAACCACCACCACCACCGATTCCGACTCCAAGATCGATTCTCTAATCTCTGGCTTCTTCTGATCTATTATATATCAAACCATCCACAGTCTCTTACCTATCATCTATAAACCCGTTGATTCATCTCAAATCCTGACTCGATCTCCAAAAACTCGAGCTCAAATTCTCTTCCGATTTTAATGGATCCGGAATCTGGGTTGAGTTATACGGCGGAGATGTCAAGCTCGAGAAAGGCGCTGTTGTAAAATGGAAAGCTGAGTTCGGTGAAACCCTAAAAAGCTTCGTCATCATCACTTACCATTTCGCGACGGTTAATCCGACGGAATCTACACTCGTCTTCGACGGTGGTGTTGAGTCCGATTCAAAGCTTGTTTGTGGATTGAAGATGCGCGTGGTGTGAACAAGGGTAATTTAGGAATATAGGAAAAAATTAGTGACATTTTTGTAAAGTGACTTGGGGAACGTAGCATTTTTTTAAATTTCTCTTCTACTTATCTTG